ACGCATGCACCAGGCCTCTATCCTGGTAATATGCAATCTGACCCTAACAGCAGAACAACTGGGAATGGCTGGTCAGTATAACACACACTGACCACCAGGGGGCAGACGCTCAATGCAGGAGCTGACCCCTGGTGGTCAGTGCGCTCCCACAGTGGGAGCTCTGCTCAGCCACAAGCCAAGCTGACGGCTGCCAGTACAGCGGTGGTGGTGGGAGCCTCTCCTGCCTCCTTAGCAGTGCTAAGAATGTCCAACTGCACCTTAGGCCTGCTCCCCGCTGGCAAGTGGACATCCCCTGAGGGCTCCCAGAAGTTAAGAGCTGCAATCTGGATGGTCCCACTCCTATTGAGCCAGAGGGATGTCTGATTGCCAGCTTAGGCCCAATCCCCTGGGGGGATAAATATAAATATATACACACACACACACACACACACATATACTAACTTCTGAAGAGTTATGAATAGATATTTTTTGTTTTAGCCTTATTGGCAACTTTTACAAGAGACTTTAAGAATTTGCTTCAGTTTGTTTATGCATAGGTATATGTGTGTTTGTGCTCATGTGAATATATGTAAATAGTTTTACATAAAATTTACACTTTCCTTTTTTATGGGCAAGGGCCTTGTCAGTATTTGGTTCATTGGCTATAGCAGGTGCTCAGTAAATATTTGTTGCATGAACAAATGTTCTACAACTTGCTCTATGTTAATAAAGATATGTCTAATTTTTTTAAAAAAAAGGTTATATATGTATATATAATCAAATAAGCAGGATAACAAATAACAAAACATATTGGAACAAAAAGTTAGCCACCTCTACTTGGTACACAACCAAATAAGCAGGGTTTTCAGAACATATTGGGACAAAAAGTACAATCTACCTGTATATGTTTCACTATTCAAGAACGTTTTGATCAGTATTTGTACTACAAAATCAACTTCTAAGACAAAGTTAAATTAATAGTAGGTCAATTATAAAGTAGAGTTTTAGGTGGCAAGTAACAGCTACTTCACAACCATCAGGCCAAGCATATTTACAACATTAGTAAAAGAATATTTTGTATTACTTTGCATGGTTATTTAATAACGATTCAGAAACTAAATTACTAAGTATAAGATAAAAACATCTGCTAATTACTAACACATATATACAAAGTTCATATTCTAAATTCTCAAGCATCAAAAAACAAAATTCACATTAAATTCCTCATTTTCAAAGTTTTTGCTAATTCATAAAAATATTTTAATTGAAAAATTGTAATAAAATGTTTAACTTGAATTCATCAAGCCTTTAGCTATAACTTCCAGTTAATAGGAAATGCAGGTTATGTAAGAAAAAATTAAATAGCACTCTATATAGGAATCAATCAAATAAACACAGAAGAACATCCTGCAAGAATTGAGAGGTTTAAAAGGGATAACAAGCAAGTGAAATGTAGCAGATACTGGTTTAGATGAATCACTTATAAAAGATAACTTCAGATAAGTTGGTATTAAATGAGATGAAACTTTATTGAAATAGAAAGGTAGAGAGGACTAGAAAATAAACAGGTTAAAAATACTACATACAGTATGATTTCTATCTTGATTTAAAATATATATATGTATAGACGTACATATATGATAATATATGTATATTTGTGCAGAAAAAAGATCTGGAAGAAAATACATTAAGATATTGTGAAAGTGAGTTCTTAGTGATGGAAACGTGATGTTTCTTTGTTTTTAGTTCTACTAGTCTGCATTTTCTAATTTTCTATTGTGCATGTATGTTCTAAAAATAAAGAATTATTTAAAATAAAAAGGTTAAAATAAATAAAAATTAGGATCTAGATACAGATTATTTTTAATAGTTATTTCTATCAGTTAAAATTTACTATGTATAAGGCATTATGTTAGGTACTTTTATCAAGTAAATACAAATATAGACTGATATCACATTATGTACCCACAACTACAAACTAGCAATAGAGAAACATACATAGTCTTCCAATCAGCTCAGAAACATCTTGAGCTCATATCTTAGGAAAAACCAATTAACAAAACCACAAAAAAGTAAATCAAGTCCAATAGGCATACAACTATCAAACCAAGTAATATCATCAAAACTTTTTTTATATAAAGAAATAAGCAAATGCTCCATTAGCACACTCAAATATAAAGACTTGTTTACTGAACTTACATACTTTTAGCCATAAAAAGAAATCTGTGAGAATTATTTCTTATAAGTATGTTAACATACCGCTGCATTTCTGCTCTGAAGCAAAGGTTTTGTATTCCGAATTAAAAGCCTATGGTCTGGATCCATAGTATAAGGCTTCTTTCTCTTGTCAGCCTTTTCTTTCTGTTCCTCATCAGACTCATAAAAATTCTTTTCGTTGTCCTCTAGACCATCATCCTATAGGAAAGAAATCCAATCCCATGTTTAGTTCCGACCCTGAACAGCCCAAACATTGCAAAAAGAAAAATTTTTAAAACTTCTACAATAATGGTAATATCTTACTGTACAACAAAACTGTTGAGGTGATTTCAAAATACTTGCTACTTATATAAAAGTCTTGATTTTTCTCATATTTTATAACACAGTAACTGTCCCTTAGTGCTATAGATGATACTTCTTTTATATTATACAGGAAAACTAAAAATATTAAATCCCCATATAAATACCCATAGCTACCCAAAGGGAAAAATCTGACAATTAGATTCTAACAAAACCTATAATATGAGACTATCTAAAACCTGAAAATTGTTTCTATAAATTACCAGCCACTCTGCAATTGATCAATTGGTCAGAAAAAAAGAGGATAATTTTTTGAACTGCAACAAATAAAGGAAATCATAATAAAGCTTGACAGGTTTACAACTAGTGATTAAGTAGGTCCCTATGTTGTCAAGAAACACTCAGTTTGAGCTTTAGGTATATCTATAATAGTTGATTCTGTTTTTGTCCTTTTCATTTTAAGTCTTTATTATCTTAGACAATAAAATCAATCTATAGGCATTTAGTCTTAAAAATAAACACAAAAATAATATCTACCAGGATCAACTACTCTTTACAGGTTTCTGAAACGTACTTTCTACTTCTGAGAGAATGAAGTAGATATACTGTTCCCTATTTTTCTCACGAAGTACAACCAGAAACCCAAGATATTATATATAAAACAAGCATTAGAAAAAGGAAAGGCAGAGAGCAGAAGAGTGAGTAGAGACCTCAGGACCCATAGAATAACAATAGTGCATTCCTTAGGCTTTCATTTATTTTTTAAATTAAATCTTTATTGTTCAGATTATTACAGTTGTTCCTCTTTTCCCCCCCATAGCTCCCCTCCACCCGTTTTCCACCCCCCCCTCCGCCCTCACCCCACCCCCACTGTCCTCATCCATAGGTGCATGATTTTTGTTCAGTCTCTTCCCACACACCCCACACTCCTTTCTCCCCCAAGAATAGTCAATCCACACCCTTTCTATGCCTCTGATTCTATTATAATCACCAGTTCATTCTGTTCATCAGATTATTTATTCACTTGATTCTTAGATTCACTTGTTGATAGATGCATATTTGTTGTTCATAATTTGTATCTTTACCATTTTCTTCCTCTTCCTCTTCTTAAAGGATACCTTTCAGCATTTCATATAATCCTGGTTTGGTGGTGATGAACTCCTTTAGCTTTTCCTTATCTGTGAAGCTCTTTATCTGACCTTCACTTCTGAATGATAGCTTTGCTGGATAAAGTAATCTTGGTTGTAGGTTCTTGGCA